AAGAACACTGGAACATGGTTAAATGGTTCTGGACCCTAACCAAGGCAAACAAATTATCCTCTGCAATACATAGGGCTCAGCCAGGGTCCCCCTTGTGCTTTGCAACAAGAAAGCTAAATTGCCTGCGCAGTGCACACTTCATTTAGCTTTTCTGCTGTTAAAAAAATAATTGAAAAGCTCTCTTATTGCAGCAAGGCAGAGAGAATATAAATGCTTTGAATGCAATGCATTTATGTGTTAAGGTAAAGAATCTGTCAAGAGTACAAAGATCATCCTGGAAAATATAATATGATATTTTTCATTCTTACTTACATAACTCAATCTGCCGAGCAACTAACTAGCGTAAAACATTTGATTTAGAAAAAATATAAAACCACGTTTTGTAATTTTAGCTTTTTGAAATGGAATGCATATCAAACTGAGCTGTTTTGTTTTCCAGCTTATTTTGACATTTAGCTGCATCCCTAATAAAGAACCCATTTCTGAGAGCAGCACAGCTAATTACGTTTTATTGCGTAAGGGTGCAGCTGGGATTAAGGCTATTCTCCCAAGATGGTGGGTCCATGGTAGTTTGCCTTCACCTGAGCATCATTCATTACCCTTCCCAGCACAGCTGAACCTATGTAAATGTTGTTATAATTTGCTGTATGTGTAGACCAGCAAAAAATTGCAGCTTTATTTTGCCAAGCTCCAGTCCCTGGAGAAGACTGCTTCTCTGGTGTTTTTGATAGCCGGAGATGTGCAGATTTATTTCTGGAGTGTTGTAGTTTCATGCTATCTTTAGGTCAGGATGGAAACTGGATGTTCAGTCTGGATTTTTATTTTCTGTAATATGCTATAGTTTCCTTTTGAAGAAGGAGTTCCCCCCACACACACCTCGAATACGTATACTTAAAAATTCAGTTAAGCTTTAATGTTGGTGAGACCACTTAATAAACTATAGGAGCATGACTATTTTTTACAAGTACTGAGCCCTTCCAGTGAACGTAGGTAGTTTCTGCAAATATTTATATGCTGTAGTTTATTTGAGGTATGTTTGTGGGCTGTGTTCATAGCTGAGTGTCTTTCATAAACAAAGAAGCAGCATGCCTTTGAGTGGTATTTTGTAAGAAGCTGGTAAACAAGCAGTTAGAGTCAACATTTCAGTACTTCTTTTGTGTTGTTAAATAAAACTGCTGTTAAAACGTTACTTTCCTTAACTAAAGTTTTGTTTTGGACTGTTTGGATCAGGAAGAACCTACCCTGCTAAACTATGAAGAACATCCTTGTACTGACTTTTTAAGATTTTCTTTTTCCCCTTAAAGCTGCCTTTACTCATTTTTTGAAACAAAATATTTTAGGATAGCTGAGCAAATTCTAAGTTATGACAACGCAAGCATTTTGTTTGGAAGCAGCAGACCAGCGTTAGCAGGAATACCAATAGTAATTCATAAACTAGTATTCATTTAGATTCGTTAGAATGTTGAAATGCTTTGAACACACACTTTTCAGGGATTAAAGTATATCAGACTAATGTGTATCAGTAGCAAAGATTTCCATAAACTTAATTTTACCAAATTAGGGGAGAAAAGGCATAAATAGAATTTACAGAGTCAAATATTTTGTTTTTTCTTCTGCAGCAGGGTCTGAAACAAACTTGCAGATATCAAAGTAACGTCTGTTCTTCAAAGAAAGATGCTACTTATTTCCTGCTTTTGATGTCAGTTACATATTTAAGGAAGAAATTAAGATGTTTAAAAATAAGCAGAAATAAACTTACTCCTTTCTAACGTTTTAGAGCTGGTTGTGATAAATGGTGCGTTTCTTGGAGAAAGCCCCAAGCACATTGACAAAGCTCAGTTTTGTAAAGGATGTCGCTTTTCCAAGTGTGCTGAAGAGGCAATGACTGCAGCTGGGTAGAGCTGCAGTTGGGCACTTGGACTTGAGCTCCAGTATTTTACTTCATTCCAAACTGCCTGACTAAAATCTTGAAAATGGGCGCGCAAGCAGTAAGAGATGGCTGAATTGCTCCTACTGATCTTCACTAATAATGGTAGCGGTTATTAATGTTCATAAAGTTACATCATCCTAACTAGTAAAATTATCGAGTTAAAATACTGTAAGTATACTTAGACTGCATTTACCCTTGCTTACATTGATTTTGCTCAAGTTGGGCTCTGTTCACAAGTTTGCTTCCCACATGGTTAAGGTTGGTAGCAGATGTTTTAGTATTATAGCTGAAAACAAAGCAAAAAAAAAAAAGGTATGGCGAGAAGGTTTATTAATTCTATAATGTCTTTATGATATAACAAATGCTGTGTTTGTTTTGTCCAACAAGTCTACGTCAGTGCATACACAATTCTTTGGTAGCATGTTTTATAGATGTCCCAAGTTGCTGAAAATGCTCAGGCTAGCTGGGTCACTGGCTGGATGAGCACCAAGGACTTTTTGTTTATACAGTTACAACTCAAATGGAAATAAAATATATTAAGAGTAAGACAGCAGTCTAACTCTAGAAGACAGACAGATATCAATGTATGTGTGTATCTGTGTGTAAACAGTCCTTGAAGATGGCCATTCTTTTGTGGTACGGCAGATTTTCTTTTCCTGTTGAAGTAACACAAGAGAAATAGGATTCTTAACAAAGTTTGTTGATGATATGATGAAGTACTGAATTAAATGTCATTCTCACAGCTTCAGAAGATTTGGTCATGGCTGCCAGAAGCTGTGGAGCAGAAAAGCCGTTCTTATAGGCAACAGTGCTGTCTGCCTGTTGCTTTGTAGCAGTCTCCTTACGCATCTGAGCTAGAATTTCTGTATCATTGGTTTTGCTTGGTGGGTTGGTCTGATATATCTCAATTATCTAAAAATCATGTCAGCAGTGAGAATTATTCAGTAGCTCGTAACTGCAGGTGTTTTGATCAGTGTTTGGCTGGGACCCTCTTCATTTTAAAAGAATATTCTCCCAGAAAGATAATTTTGTCATCTTTTAATTTTAATTATTTTTGCTTTCAGGCTAATATTTCAAAATAACTGGTCTACAAATATTCTGTTATAGAAAATTTGAGAGTATAAATCGTAGGGCATATAGGATATCTTTCATCTAACCTTTACACCACCCTTTATGTTGAAGAATAATCTTTTGTTTGTGCTTGTTCAGTGCTTGTGGGAAGAAGCTTATACAAAAATTGATTGGAATTTTCTTGTGCTACATCAACCCAGAGCTTTGACGTATGTAAATTACCACCTTTAAGAATGTTTTTTCAAGATTTTCCTCTAGAAAGAAATGAAGCAAGACATTGCCTTTAATTATAGCTGCAATCTCTTCTGTGATAGGTTTTTCAGTCTATTAAACACTGTGGCTGCGGTCTTCAATTAATTACATCCTTCTTTCCATCTCTCTGACGTTAATTTTAGACCTATCAAACTTTTGATTAATTGAGTCAATCTTTGTATTCGTTACCTCTGGCTCTGTTGCGTTCTGTCATCATATATAGTGCTTTCTCTTCTGATCCAAATGAGTTTTGTTTTTATTTTTCCTGAACTGGACCAAGAAGTGCTGACTACTGGAAGCCATGTTTCTTACAGACTCTGTCCAACTAATATTAACGATGCAGTTGTTCTTATTGTGAATTTTTGCATTCTCAAATTCTCCGATAGTAATTCTGGTAAATATCAAAGCAACGTTAACTTTGGCCATGAGGAATCCCGATCAGACTGAAGAAACTTTTTGCTCTTTCCTGAGAGTTTGTCTGTAGATACGCCTTGCCTACTGCTCCGTGTTTTTGACTGTGCCCGACGGAGCATTTCAGAAAGCAACTGGGCAGAGGTTTCTGTTCTGGCAGCGTATGGGCCCTCATTAAAATGGAAATGCAGGTAGTTTCTGTGGCTTTTGTACTGTAAGTCGGGAAGCTAATATGAAAGCTGGGGAGGGGGGAATAGCTCAGGACAAGTCAGAGGGAAGAAATAGTAGAAGTTTGGTAGCAGGAGAAATCTGACCTGCAGGCATGCATCCTTCTGCGAGTGCAGCTGTGTGAGCTGCGGTGGTTGTTGGGGTCAACTGCTCCTGCTTCTCTATGAGAGAAGTTCTCCAGCAGAAGTTATTTTCCCCTCAGGTCTGCTGGTTGAGCTTTTTGTAAGACTGTTATTTAACCGCTCTCTTCACTTAAACAGTTAAGTAGCTGTTTTAAGCCCTTCTCTTTTGACTCGAGGAGAGCTGAGCCATGCAGATAGGTCAGTAGATCTGAAGGAGATGGTGACAAGCAATACCCAGGGAACTGGGGGAAATAACCTCTCTGGCTGGCGCAGCCAGAACCAGAAGATGTAGTAGAGAAGTAATTCCCTAGTGTCTTACCACACCATTCAGTAGCAACTTCTGACGCTTTAGCTACATCTCTAGTGTGAAAGCTGTATTTTCAGTATTCCAAATATATGTTGTGAGCTGGGGGTGGGGAGGGTATTTGTTTAACAATTGCCAGTGAATAGAAACGGCTGGAATACTAACTGGTAGGGAAGGACAATGCCAACAGGAAAAAAACTTAACTTTTTCCTAAAAGGAGGAAAACATAAGATAGATAAAGCGTCTCTTGTAAAAGGAGGATACAGATAATAGAAACCCATTTTCTTTCAAAAAGAAAAACCCCACTGTACAGACGAGCATACTCCATTAACCTTCAACAAAGTATTGGTGCGTTTCTTGAGTATTTGGAAAGCAATTTGGTTTTTTGCATCTGTAGGACACAAAATGGTAACTATGTACATCCTTGCATAGTTTATTGCTCTGTGTAAATTTGAAGTCTGTAGAAATCAGTAATGTATCTTTCTGGTTCATAAAGGAAACCCTTGTGTAAATTGCAGTGTCGAGGGGGGGGGAAAAAAAACAAATTTCCTGGCTGGATGAAAAAAGTATTGAAAATAAAGGGTACTTTATGAATTGATTATCGACTTGGAATTATGTGATTGTGCTAAACTAAGGAACGTTTCATCAGCTTGTGCTTCCTTTTTTCTAATTCTCGTTATTTTGTGGGGTTTTTTTTCAGAAATCCTGCCAGAAACCTGTGGACAAATACATCGAGTATGATCCTGTTATCATCTTGATTAATGCTATTTTATGTAAAGCGCAAGCATACAGACATATTCTTTTCAATACAAAGATAAACGTAAGTTGCTGTGCCCCTACCCTGTGGCTTTTTAGTTCAAGATATATTTAGCTTTGTAAGTTGATCAGAATAGTTACAAAATTTAGGTGCTGTTCTTTTCCTGTCCTTCCACAGGTCCCAGTAAGCCGTACCGCAGTTATTTTCTCAAAGAGATTAAGGGTCTAATATGGTAAATAGAGCCCATGAAATCCCAAGTTCTAGCTATTAAGAAAGTTACTGTCTCTGTAACACTGGCAAATACAGCTGTCTTCACTACATATTGCAGACAGTCCTGATTGGACTTACTGGAAGAGAAAGGTCTAATTTCAAATTCATTTCCACCTTAAATTTCAGCTGGAAATAATTATTTTTGAAATGAACTATAGTAGTATAATGTACCATACTAACCATACTATACTAATTAAACCTACTCTACTACTGTCTCATGAATTTCCTCGTGAGAAATTAACCATGTCCTCAAAACTACAGCAAAGGATACTGGCTTTCACATGAAGCCTTATTGATGCAGAGTCACATGGGCAACTTGCTGACCGAAGGGTCTGACTGACCGAAGTGCAGAGGTAGCTATTCTGACAGAGTTACATATTTTTGCTTTAACAGTTGATTTCCCAGAAGAGGGAAGCTAATCTGCAGTAAACTATCCGAGCATGAGTGTATGCTATGTACATGTTGACATCTCTTGACCGGTCCAGTGTAAGCCACGTAGATAGGGATACAGGCCTCGTCTTTGAAGCACAGATCTGGCTAAAGGCTTTTAATAAATTAAGTGCTGCTGGAGACATGTAATGGTGCTTTCCATGAGGCCTCTGGAAGAACGTTTCCATCTGTGGAATCTATTCAAATAAATGAATAGGAACGTTAAACTTTGCTAATCTTGTGCATGTCTCCTTGTCCCTGCAAGTGAAATCTGCGTAACTAGTCTCCAACAGAAAAATCAGAATCCACACGCAGAAATTGCAGTGGTTTATTTAAATGTGTATAAAATCAGACTTTGAAATAACCCACCTTCATTGGCTTGTAAGTTATGTTTAATGTGGAAACGTGCTAAGTATGGATCTTCATGGCACCTCTTGTCGCAGTTACTTCAGCGGATACTTGAACTTGTGTTTGGTTGTATTGCTGTCTTTACTTCTGTTTCCTCACCCTTCTCTGAACTCAGGAACCTTTTTTGTCTAACTAAAGTACCAGCTTCTTCTAACGGAGAAACAAATTTTCCTCAGGGAAAAACAAAAGCAAGGCAAGTTAAAACAGTTCTCTGAAAGGAGTAGATATCTTCATACTGAATCTTTTGATAGTATGGTTCTGCTAGATAGGGCATGATTTTGTTTTTATATTCCTAACTGGAACAGCTATCCCAATTTTAAAAAGTATAGAGCAGACCTTGCAAACTACAATTATATACTTTCTTCTGTACAGATCTGTTCATGCAGTTTTCAACACCCTCTAATTTGCCTGTCATGTTAGTGAACTAATTGATGCTAAAAGGAAGATGTGCTAAATGAGTAGCTCGACAAAGTAATTTGCTAACATTTCTAAACATACCTAAAATGATAAACCTGCAGAGCTTGTTTGTGTAGAGATGTCAAAATGTATTTTAAATTAAACATTTGATACTAATGCTTTTATTTTTCTTTCATTTACCAGATTCATGGAAAGCTCTGCATATTTTGTTTGCTCTGTGAAGCTTATCTCAGGTGGCTGCAACTACAGGATTCAAGCCAAAATATAGATCCTGATGACTTAATCAGATATGCCAGGGAATGGGATTTTTATAGAATGTTTGGCATAGCTTCTTTAGGTAAGAACTGTGATTATTTTATATAACTATCAAGTGTACTCTTTAAGCATTTTATGACTGCATGATTCTTCCAACAACCTCATATCGCAAAAATTACCAATACAGAATGGTTGTTATGTTCAGCGCAGCATGCTTAACTGATTTTGCGCATGCTCTGTCACTTGCCTTCACTTAATGCAAATTTATATTTAAATCACCTGACTGCAATTGAGACTGGTATGGTCAGCATTAGATATCAAATCACCAGAAGATGGCAATATTCAGAAATCTTAGTTTGAATGCATTTACATAGTTTAAAGACCAAAGTGGAGCTCTGCCTTATTCCAGAGTACCCCTCTACATATTGTCATTATACTGCATTTTGATGTAAGGTAATTGACTCAAGCACAAGTTAACAAGCGTTCTCTGCAATTTGCTTTGCATCTCATTATCCTGCATGATACTTTAATGCAAGTTGTCTTCTGCAAAATAGAATGCGCTATTTGTAAGCGCCTCTTTCTAGAAGTAACCTGTTTAAAAGGATCCTGTCAGTGTTATCTTACCTGTCTTATCTTAAGATCATTAGAAAATGTGGGGAGATTATATATATTCTTAGGAAGCTTGCTTGAAATGTATTGAAAAATGAAAGACTACTACCTGATTGTGACCAATTGCTTTTTTTTTATGGTTTTGGTTTCAGCTAGAGCTAAATTTATTTGTATGTACTCCAAAGTTTATTACTTATAAAGATGAGACAACATTAAGGATGATCCTTGCAGAAGGAAACAGTGATCAGGAAAAACTGTATCTATCTGCTTAAAAATGAATTTGCAATAATCAGTATTTGTCAAACAGAACAGTGTTACCTCTGGTGAAGAGTACATATTTCTAAGCTGTAAGAGTAACTATGAAGGCAGGGGAGAGTATTTGTTTTATTTTGGTTGAGACTTTTATTCTCAGTTTTTTTTTTCTGGTGATACTGTTTAAATCAGGCATACAGACTAAGATTGTAAGTGTTTCCCTTAGACATTCAGAGTTTAACTTCAGTCATCTACTGCCTAATGTTTCTCTGAGTAGGTTTTCATAACAGGTCAGTCAGTACAAACGTTGGAGCTCATTTTTCAGTAGTAATTCGTCTCTCACGGTTGTTGAGAGAAGTTGCTCTGACAATCTGCCTTAGTTCCAGCGTTACACAGGGATGAGGTGCTGGAGAAAGTCTAGTAGCTCAACAATGTTTTCACCTTGGTGTTCTTCCTTGTGCTGTTTGGACAGGGTCTATTGTTGTTGGCCTTTCAAAAAAGGCAAGTATTGATGATCTTGTTTTACAGGCTAACAACCAGCTGAAAAAAATTCTTCCTTTGTTAAAAAGGAAAAGTGAAGAGCTTCATATGCTAAATTTCCTGTGCTGTATGGTGTCAGGTATTACAAGCATGACCCTCCTACAGATAGAATTGGTTGAATTATTTTGAATTGAGTTATACTGAATTAGTTTAAATAAGTAATAGTAATTTTTGCCTATTAAAATGAAAATGGGAGTTGGAGGACGTGTTGTTCGTGTTTGCTTATAAAATGTCTTTTAAATAGCAGTGACTCAGTCGCATTTGGGACCTGTCATTTCACTAAGATTGATCAAGAAAGGACTTGATGTTTGTGCTTCATTCGCTCTTTCCAACTCCTCTTTATTTTCCTCTTAGAACAAACTTCATTTTTAGTTGGCATTTTTATTGCGTTGTGGCAGATGAGACCTGAGATGCTGAAAACGAAGTCGGACTTCAGTTTACTTCTCAAAGCACTGCTATTGTCTAGCTATGGAAAGCTTTTGCTAATTCCAGCTGTTATTTGGGAACATGACTACACACCTTTGTGCCTCATGCTTATAAAAGTATTTGTCTTGACATCAAACTCTCAGGCTATCAGAGGTATGTTTTTGCTTCTTTATTAGTATACAACGTGTACAGAATGTGTGAGAGAGAATGCAGGTGTTATATATGTCATTATTATTGTTCCTATATTTTTAAGTGTCTTTTGAGAAAACACTGTTTATTACCAGATATGTGATTAGAATAGTTCTAGTTTAAAACGGTGATCTTTGGATTTTCATGGAAAGTGAATGAAACAAAGCATTTTTAAAAAATAAAATTAAACGTTTATCTCACAATCCTCTCTCTGTAAATGCTGTATTGTATCCATCAGTTGTAGTTGGAGGCAATTCAGCAAGCAACATTGAAACATAAAGTAGAATCCTCTGTGCATCTGGAAGATGAAAATAGAGTGTTAATTTTATGTGTGGTTTGGGAATGCAGGCTTTAATAGGTTTGTGTGATTTCTTATGCATATATTTCTCACATGGCTTTTATGATCTTCTTAAATGGAAATGGATAAGCTTGTTCTGTTTTCTTTTGCAGTTACGTTAAACTTAAACCGAATGCGTCCTTGGTTGGCCATCTTCATTGGATTAGTTTTGGAAAACGGTGCGATCTGCTTGTTCCGGAAAATGGGATGGAACGTTTGAAAAATCAGTCCAGATCTAAAGAAAAACCACCAACATGCTGATTATTTTCTAAGGATGATCTCTTCTAGCAGTCCCAAAGTCACTGTTTTCATAGTGATAAAGAAAATGATAGGTAACAAATTTTCATTAGTGGTTTGCTGGAAACAGTTTCAGGATAAGCTGAAATGAGAAACTTCAGAACTTTGGCTGTTCAATGTGATGAGGCATAAAACTTCAGCCATAGCTTGTTTATTTTCCTACCAAAAATATGAATGTGTCACCATCCTAAGAGCTTTATAAATCTGGCTGTATAGCTGCGGTTGTAACAAGAAAGGTACCCTAAAAAATTTCAGCACCGCTACCAACCACTGCATTTTGGCAGAAAGAGGGGGAAGAATTGTTCCTTTAAGAGAAAGGAAAGCAGTCAGTGGAAAAAGCGTACAAAACAAAATTTGATATCTCTGCAAAAGCTGATTTTTCAAAGAGAAAGAGAGAGAGAGAGAGATGAACATGCACAGATTATTAGAGAAAAGGCAAGTATTGCAGAGTAAAACTACAGTGGAAAAACTATGTTGTGTTCTCTGGAATGCTTATAGAACAATCCAAAATAATAAAATACTTAGTTCCAGAGTAATCCCTAGGAGTTATAGTTTTAATCAGCTTCATTTGAAATTTTATATGATCTTATAAATTCTGTTGCACTGTTCTGAAAGATGAAAAGAGAGGAAAGGACTGTGATACCCAACATACAAGGTTGTTTGGGATAGTGCTGCTGTTGTAGTTAATATTCAACCATCTCCCCCTAGACGAGCCCTCCCGGACAGCTGGTTTAGTGGAAGCACAAAGTGAAATATGAGGCTGCCTAGCAGTGTTCTTTTATAGAGTAGTACATATTGAAAAAGAAACAAGGTTTGGACTAAATCGGTGAATAAACATTTATGGAAGTTCCAAATCTTACACCCCAGCAGGCAAAGAAGGAGGGCTGGGCGGTCCACAAAGGAACTAGCAGAAGGAATTGGCAGAATCATTTTCCCAAGACAGGCAGTGGTTAGCACACGAACCTACTTTTTTTTCTGCAGACCAGTTTCCATCATGTTCCATCCAACGTTTAATTCTCCTGCCTCATTCTGGAAGGCTGTAGCTCTGTCACTACGCTCCTCAGGTACAACTTCCATTCTTTGTTTTTTCTCAGCTGCAGTTTCCTGTCCATCTTTTGCAGAATGCACTAAAAAACATTTTGCAATATCTTCAAATCAATTCTGAGTAGATGAAGTCTAGATTATGAGCCCAGAGGACGGGGGACATCAGACATGTTAAAACCCTTGCAACTGCACGTGCCATAGTAAGCTGTTTCGAGAGAAAAGCAAATGGTTGCCTATTCTGTTATAGCAGGGCAGAGGCTGACCACGCTGCTGTGCCATGTGCTGCAATGGGTATCTTTATGAGCATGTGATAGTGCGGCCAAGGAAGGCAAAAAAAAAAAAAAAAGAGTGAGGGGGCAATTGCAGCCCCTTTTAAGTCTATGTGACAGCTTCACACTGCACTACCCCGAACAGGCACGTAGTTGGGAAGGTATATGAGGAATCAATCCACCTTGCTTTTAGAAGTGCTCATCTTCCTCCTAGTGCACAGCACACAGCATCACAAACATCAGTCAGCA